TAAGATCCATTGATAGAGTTGATACAATCCTTTGGGGTTCATTTAACACCCTGTATATTTTATACTACCAGAATTGTTACATTGTTTTTCCTTATCTGAAGAAGCTGTCAATTCTTAGTTTTGAAGTTGCTTCCATTTGGATGGTGATTGTTCTCCTTCCTTGAGGGAGCGGCTGTAATGTATGCTGTGTATGATCACTTGGCTTTGATTCTGGGGGCCAACACTCTCTATGGGTTCCTTGGATACAGAAAGCCCCTGTGTGGTGGCTTTCTCAATGCTGGTTGCAGTAGTGATGTGCTAGGTATATAAGCTGGCTCACTGCCTTCTGCAGGACTGGACTTACAGAGTCTTAGGAACCCCAATGTCATTCATTCCCCAATGCTATATTCTTCTATCAGCGGGTTTTTTATTGAATTGTGTAGTTCAACCTCCAGGCCAGTAGAAGGCACTGATGAGTAAGAGCCAGCAGCATCAGAATCATGTGGGTACTGCCTTTGATCTTCCTTTACCAGGAGGTGCTCTCTGTTGTTTCAAGCAATGGGCTGGTCTGTGGAATGCCTGGTGTTCTGAGTTCCCTGCTCAGTTGTGGAGGGGTTCAAAGCTGGTCTGGTCTGGATTGCCAGCCTCATCCACAGATACCCCTATGACTAGGACCAGCCCACTGGACTATCCTCAGGACCTCTGGGTTCACACTCTGGTTGTGATAGGGTGAGGCAGGTTGGTCCCCACGCACTGACAACCAAGTGATCTGTTTTCTTCCCATGATTTATCTTTTCCAGGATTGCTAGTAAATAAATAAAAATAAAATAAAATAGGTGCAAGCTTTGAGTCTGGCCCCTTTCACTTAGTGTAATATATTTGAGATTTATCTGTGTTTTTCATGTGCTCCTTTTATTTACCAAGTAGTTGTCCAGTATGTGGTTGTACTAGTTTGTTTTATTTATTTGCTACTTGAGGGTCTTAGTTCTTTTTAGCTTTGTGTTTTTGAATGTATGTATTTTTGTATCTCTTGAATAAATATACAGGAGTAGGATAGTTTAGTTATAAGATGAATGTATTTTTAGCTTTACAAGTAATGGCCAACCACTTGGCAACCACTTGGAATTTCTATCAATAATGCATGAGAATTCTAATTACTCCAAATCCTTGACATTGTCAATGTAATTTATTTCACTATTTAATAGGTGTGCAGTCATATCTCACAGTGACTTTAGTTAACATTTTCCTAATGAGTACTGATGTTGAGCATATTTTAATGTATTTCCCAGACAGTGTTTTTAATTTTTCTCTTGATTGATGACTATGACTCTGAAGAAAAAGGAGAAATCGGTTGATGATATCAAGTAAAAACATTTAATTTCCTAGGTCATGGCTTAAGATAACAGAATAATAGTTTACCAGGAAGGGTTAAAGTAAATCTTCTGAGACAGGGCTAATACATTTGGTAAAGATTGCTGGTATGATTAATTGTGCTTTAAAGTGATATAGAAGAGGTTGAGAAGAAAGATCCCAGAAAACTATATCAACAACACATGTGATACAGAAAGAACAAAAACTAATGATTTGAAAAATAGCAGTATGGATGGTCGAAAACAATGTTTCCTTCCATACACCTATGAGCAAAATGTGTTTAATTAGAACAATGACTTGGAAAGTTTATTATAAACAGATAAATATTGACATTTCTAGTAGTTGTTGGAAAGGGGCCTCTAAAATATTTCTAGAGCAATAGAAAGATCAACTGTATTTGGTAGAAACAGTTTTGATAAGCAGGAGGCATAATGGCACTGAAAGTTAAAAATACTTCCATAAATATGAGGGTGAAAACATTTTAGAGACCCCTGGAGTCAGGATAAAACATAAAGGAAAGTGCTAACACCGTGTAGGCCTATTACCTAGAAGTGAAGTTATGTAGTAACTTCGTAGAATGTATTAGCAATCTGGCCCAGAAATAATACAATGAATAGGTTCCCTCACTTCTCTGTTGGGAACTCCACTGAGCTCCTGTACAGGGACCAGAGTTACCTACCCTTCACAAGGTTATTACCTAAATGAAGAGATACAAAATAAGATCTTGATGCTAAAGTAGAAGTAAACAGGAAAAATATAAAGTAAAGTAACAACAAAAAATATGACATATAACATGTATAACACAAACAAGAATAAAATAGAAGTGACCAATACGTATTCCTTCATTAATCCCTCAAACCCTTATTGACTAAGCTCTCAATGAACACTGAGAATTGAGTGAGCAGAGTGGTGAATTCTACGTAGTCCCTCTTCTCCTGGAGCTCATACATTAAGCAAGTAACTATAATGAAGAGTGACAAATGCTAGATTTTTTTCAAAGCAAGATACTTTGAAAATGTAAGGAGATCTCTTAGCAGTTCAAATCTGACCTGAACATTTATGAAATAGGAAGGTAGGATTAATAGAAAAGTATAACTAGAGCATATATTAGGGTCCAGAAAGTAAAGAGCAGGACAAATTGAGACCTACGAAATACACCAAGACAATGGAAAAGGAATGTCAGTTGTAGTCAGACCAGAAAAACAAATCTTGAAAGACTTGTTATGCAATTTGCACAAGATAGTAGAATGTTTAGTTGGCAGAAGCATATGACTAATTTCACTGGTCACCATCAAAGAAAATAAATGGACTGGACAGGGATTAAGGGGTTATTAAAGTTCAGGTAGGGGAGAGAAGTTATGGAAAGAGCACCAGGCAACGATTGAGAGGATTAAAGTAATTAACAATATTGGTAGGGATGAGGGGAGATGTCAAAAAGAAGATGGCGCTTTATTGAAGTTTGACTTTTATTGTTCAAGAACAAATAGCCCATTCAATACTAGTATGAGCAAATCCTTATAACGGTGCCTAACCCTTTTGAAAATATTTTAAAAATAAAGTAGAAAAATAAGAGTCAGAAGGCATAAAAAAGTAGATTTTTAACTTTGTATAACAAAGTCCAAATAGCTCCAGTTACCAAAATAGTAGCAACCAATCTTTTGTTGTCTGTTACAAATATATGCTTTGTATTTGACACTGATCCATTGAGTATGTTTATCAATATTTGGACAGACACGCTGATATTTTTAAAGCTGAAAAGTAGTGGGCTATGTCATATAATGATAGCTAACAGCAAAAAAGGGTTTGATCATCTATTCATATGGCTGAGAACTGATGTTAAAGAATTGTGGGCCAGTTTGAAATATTTGTTAAAATGTATTAGATACATGCAATATTGTTAATACTTTTCTTAATGAGGAAAATTGTCACAGAGAATATATGAAAATTATTCAACTAAGTTTAGAATTACATAAGTCATTTATAAATATATTTTCTTATTTATTTATTTATTTAAATCATAACTGTGTACATCAATGCAATCATGGGGTACAATGTGCTGGTTTTATATATAATTTGAAACATTTTCATCAAACTGGTTAACGTAGTCTTCACGGCATTTTCTTAGTTATTGCGTTAAGACATTTATATTCTCCATTTAGTAAATTTTACGTGTACCCTTGTAAGATGCACCGTATTAATATATTTTCTTTGCAAAATTCTAATGATACAGGCATACAATTTGGTCACAATTTATGAGAATTTCAACTACACAGATACAAAATAGTATGTATATAAAATATGTCTAGATCTTACTTTGTGAGAAAAATGTTAAACAAAATAAATCACCCCCAATGTAAAAATCATCACCAATCACACAATTTGAAATGAGTGAATTGTAAACTATCATGCTTACACCATTGCCACAAGGTGGCACAATAGTGGTAACTGTGGCTGGTAGCATTAGGCACTGAATTCCTACTATCTTTTCTCAGTATTTGCATATTTGTGTATCCAATAAATGAAATCATTCCCCATGCATTGTCCAAACTGTAACTTAGTGTCTTCTTAGTGCCTTAGTAGGGCAAATATGTTGGGGGTTGCCTCATTCTTTAAACACTGTCTAATATTCCCCAGAGGGAATATACTACCATTTATTTGACAAGTCCTGCATCAGTGGTCATTTGAGTCTTCAGCTTTTCACTAATCGGAATAATTTCGTAACCAGCTTCTGTGGAG